TAAACTCCATAGCAATAGGAAACCTTGTTTTTTTGTTTTTTGTTTTTTGTTTTTTTTGGCTGCAACTTGCAGCTTGTGGGATGTTAGTTCCCTGACCAGGGATTGAACCTGGGCCCCCAGCAGGGGAAGCGCAGAGTCCTAACCACTGGACCACCAGGGAATTCCCTCTTGTTCATCTTTCTTTATCCCAGAGCTCAGAATGGTAACTGGTACACTTGATGTTCAATGAAAAGGAAAAAAGTTATCTGGTTCAAATCCCATCTGATTGTAAAATGCTAGCTACAAGAGAAAAGAGAATTTCAAAGAATAAAAAGATCTGGGTCCTGTAATGGATACTTGTCGTATTCTTAACAGCCAATCTTCTGAAAAATCATTCCCTAATCTGAGAAAAATCCCAGGTTATGAGTTCAGCCTCCCTACTGTAGATGTCGGAACTCAAATTCCCAGCGGCTCTTGCAGCTAGGAAGAAGGCATGTGACCAGGCTCTACTTACCAGACACACCCTCATAAGACTGACTCAGTAAAGAGTGGTGAAAAGCAACTGTGCTCTCTGGCCCCTAAGCTGTGGCTGAGGTGTTGGGCTTTCTGGAAGAGCATGGAGGCTGTGCTGCCAGCTTCCTCTAGTACTAGATGGAACAGCACAGCATAGACAGAGTTCTCAGGTCAGTTCTGTGCATGGTCTTGGGCATCGTTCCTGGAAGTACAGTTTCGAGTCTTCCCCCAAATTCTCAGATCACTTTAAAGCTTTTTTTTAAAAAAAATTTTATTTATTTTTGGCTATGTTGGGTCTTTGTTGCTGCGCACGGGCTTTCTCTAGTTGCAGTGAGCAGAGGCTACTCTTCGTTTGGCGCACGGGCTTCTCATTGCGGTGGCTTCTCTTGTTGCAGAGCACGGGCTCTAGGCGCGCGGGCTTCAGTAGTTGTGGCACGTGGGCTCAGTAGTTGTGGCACACGGGCTTAGTTGCTCTGCGGCATGTGGGATCTTCCCGGGCCAGGGCTCAAACCCATGTCCCCTGCATTGGCAGGCGGATTCTTAACCACTGCGCCACCAGGGAAGCTCTCAGATCACGTTAATAAGCCCTTCTCTCAATCAGTCAGGGTCAAGTTCTGCTGCCTGTCCCACTGACAACCAGGTTTGCAGGAACTAGCAAATCTGCCTAACTTTAGGACATCTGTCTTTACAGTATGAACTAGTTCCTACTCTGTCCACCTGATTGTTTCCTGATATATATCAGAATTAGCTCACTTCCCAGGAGTAAGAAGTGTGACAGAGGCCAGCCGTCTTTGTTCTCCTCTCCAGGTCTGTCATTTATTTCCACCTCTCCTTGGGAGAAACAGTCATAAGAAACCTGCTTTGTCTTTATAACAAAGGCCAATCATACTTTAAGCATGCCTATTCCAAAATGAGCTATAATATGTCTCACACTCAAAAAGTGATGTCTAATTTTGAATTTGATTATTAAACAATACCATCCTTTTATCATAAAACAAGAGTCTGTGTCAGAGGTTTCAAACTGGTGAGAAATTCTGACCTGCAGAGGGTTTTGTCTGGCCCACAACGCTTTTAATCTTTAAAAATTGTACTCAGAGGGCTTCCCCGGTGGCGCAGTGGTTGAGAGTCCGCCTGCCGATGCAGGGGATGTGGGTTTGTGCCCTGGTCCGGGAAGATCCCGCATGCCGCGGAATGGCTGGGCCCGTGAGCCATGGCCGCTGAGCCTGCGCGTCCGGAGCCTGTGCTCTGCAACAGGAGAGGCCACAACAGTGAGAGGCCCGTGTACCGCAAAAAAAAAAAAAAAAAAAATTGTACTCAGAGATACAAACATTTTACATTTACATCTGTGATTGCTGATGGTTATAGCCTGCCACACAACAATCAGCTAGAGAATAGAGGCCCCCTTTTGATATATCATGGATTGTTCAATTTGCCTCTACTATATACTCACATACCAAATTTTTGGTTTTAATTTTGTTGCATAATACGTTGGAAGTTGGGCATACTACCTGCCATTTCATGAAAAAGCTATTTAATAAGTACACAAACATAAAAACACCAACATTTTATACTGCTATAAAACACTGGAATAGATTAAATCAAAATAGAAAAGGTAAATTAAAGGGGAGAGGCGGGGAGCTGTTCAGTGGGTATAAAGTCTCAGTCATGCAGGATGGAGGCTTCTGGAATCTGGTGCCCAGCATGTGCACAGAGTTGACAATATTGTATTGTACATGTGGCGACTGTCAGGAGGGTGAATTTTATGTTATGCGGGGGGTATTTTTGCCACAATAAAAAAAAATGTAATTCACAACATTAACAGAAGAAAAAAAGCACATAAAAATGCAGAACTATACAGAAATTTATTTAATCTGATAGGAGGTATTTATCTACAGTAAAGCAATAACAAGTAATATTGGTTAAATATTCGAAGTTCTTCACCTGAAACTGCAAAGGAGAGAAGAATGTTCATTATTTCACTTTAATTCAATATTGTATTTGGCATTCTGGCCATACAGTAAAGACAAAAATAAAAATAACAGGTTGGACAGGGACAAAAGGACACGGGAGGGCAGAAGGCTGGGACCTGGGACTTGAAGATTCCAAAGCAAGCCAAACCATACAGTTTAGAAATTTCTGTATGTGTCCACATAAGGTGGACCCTAAAGTTAAGTCTAAGAAAAGACCAGCAATTTATAAAAGAAACTGACATGCTACAAAGGTGGTTTCTATCTTGCTAGACTGTAAATATCTTACTTGGCTATTAACTGAAAATATTTAATAGAATGACCACTTCCCAGCTAATTTTCATTTTAATGTTTTAACAATTTACATTTTAAACACTGATTTCTCTAGGGCATGTTCCATCATTTGAATTAGAAATAACACCCAAAGAATGTCTTAGTAAACAATAAACTTATCTTAACTATATCATCCGTGATCAATTCAGTAAGTATATTACACCTTTCCAAGCAATAAAATGGACAACTTTAAAGAGCTTTTTAATTGGGAGATTTAAAAAAAAAAAGGCAGGACACGCAAATGACCTGCAGTTCAAAACACAAAGTCCTGTCACTTACATTCTATCCCACCTGTTCAACACACCATCCAAGTGCTGCAAACACAAGACAGTTCAGAGGAACAGTGTTATAACCCCTTAATTGCTACATCACCCAGTAAGTTACAATTAAAAAGCTCCTTATAAAAAGAAGTCCACCTATCCGCAGATATTGGAGAATCCCACTCTGTTCCGTACATTACTGAAAAAAATGCAAATACATTCATAAAGGCAAAAAAACTTTAGGTAACATGACAACCCACATCTTTCGCTGGTCAGACTCTACCGGCCATCTCAGTATTGCGGAAACGTTCCATCGATTTTGGCAGCCCAGGCCATGAGGCCTCCCACAACATCCCGAACTGTTAAAGAGTCTAAGTCTGTCCAGGACTGCAGGATCTTCACGGCTTTCTGGGAGTCATTGCCCAGTTTGCAGATCACATAAATGGGGAGAGATACCCCTTCCTGTGTGCCCTGCTTCCCTTCCCGGATTGCTTCTCCCAAGAGTTTCAGGCTCTCCGCATTCCTCCGTTCCAAATGTTTCAAAGGGATGTGTAGGGAGTGAGGCAACCGACACAGGTCCACCTCCACTGGAGGCCTGACGTCCAGCAACACGTGGGGTGACCCGGAATCCAGAAGTCGCTTATAGTCGACGACAGAAATTCGCTCCTCTGGGCTCAGTAACTGTAGGGAGCGGCACTTATCGGTGGCCGAGGAGCCACAGAAGCTTTCGTAGTCCTGCAGATCAGTCACAGTGGGCCGCTCCCCGCAAGCTGCACAGTCGGGCCTGCGCCTCCGCAGCCGAATACAGCGGAAATGACCTCCGAGGGCATCAAAGAGCAACAGGCTGCCACTGTAAGAGGGGCCCAGACCTGCAGCGATCTTCAACACTTCCAGCGCCTGCAGGCAGCCCAGGACCCCGGTAACCACACCAAGCACCCCGCCATCCGCGCAGCTGGTCACCGTCTCCGCCGGAGGTGGTTGCGGAAACACGCAGCGATAGCAAGGCCCACCGCCGTAGTGGTAGACTGTGAGTTGGCCCTCGAAGCGCAGGGCGCTGGCCGACACGAGGGGCCGGCCGGTTAGCACACAGGCGTCGTTAACCAAGTAGCGAGTGGGCACGTTGTCGGAGCAATCAGCCACCACGTCATAGCGGCCAACCAGGTCTAGCGCCGTGGCTGGCGTAAGCGCCTGGGCGTAGGGCACGCACTCCACCGCCGAATTGAGACGGCGCAGTGTAGCGGCGGCCGAAAAGACCTTGGCCTGGCCGGCCAGTGCCTCGCCGTGCAGCACCTGGCGGGCCAGGTTGCTCACTTCTACTACGTCGTAGTCCACAAGGCCCAGGCGGCCGACGCCGGCCGCTGCCAGGTACTGCGCCAGTGGGCAGCCAAGCCCCCCGCAGCCCACGACCAGCACGGACGCGGTCGCCAGGCGCAGCTGTCCCTGCACGCCCAGCTCAGGCAGCACGAGCTGCCGGCTGTAGCGCAGAATCTCATCTCGGGACAGGGCGGCCTTCGGCGGCAGGGGAGACACCGGAACCAACCGCTCTGACTCCTGCTCGGCCAGAAGAGCCGCCGCCAGCCTCCGCTTCAGGGAACTCAGCTCCTCCTCACGCTGGGCAACTTCAGCTTGCAAAGTGAGCACCTCCTCCCTGGCCGCCATGGCAGCCTCTTTGGGAGGTTGTCAAAGGCATTTCCGTTTCCGGCTTTCCCTCGTCTTGCGACTGGAATAAACTAAACAACTCTATGGAGCTTGGGGAAAGGTGATAAAGAGGTTTGTATTTTTCTGAAGCAACCATCAGATTCAACTTCAAAGAGTCACAAGTCCTGACTGTTTCCAGTGGAACTACGCAGAGAGCCTTAGGAGGACTAGAACTCGCCACCCAGACCACCCCCCTCCTCCCAGTTTTGGTACGTTCCGACGCGTCCTCTTCCCGTGCCGCGTTGACGTCATTCCGCTTCCGGCGCCTGGCGCAGCTCTGCCATGGCCTCCGGGGAAGCGAGTGGACTGTCTACTAGGTCTCCGCGGGAGCCAGAGCTGCGCACCCCGCGACAAGACAAGTATTCGGTGCTTTTGCCTACCTACAACGAGCGCGAGAACCTACCGCTCATTGTGTGGCTGCTGGTGAAGAGCTTCTCCGAGAGGTAGCGCGCCCGGCCGCCCTCCTAGAGGAATGAGATGAGCTGGCTTTCCCGGCCTGGGTGTCGGCAGTTGGCTGCGAGAGGCGGCCCCCTGCCTGGCTTCTCTTCTGTCTCCCGCTGGAAGCCTTGGGGAGGAAGCCACCCTACGAGGAAGGAGGCGGATACTTCCCGGGTTCTCTCTGTGTCTCGGGTTCTTATCTCTGCCCTTGGGTTTTGTGACACACTCCTTTATTATACACTCCCTTATACTCCTCACCCCGCTTTTTTCTTAGAAGGGTTGGCCCCCCTTTTATTTGTTTTATTTTATATTTGGCATGCGCCCGCAGCATATGGGATCTTAGTTCCCGGACCAGGGATCGAACCCATGTCCCCTGCGTTGGGAGCTCAGAATCTTAACCCCCGGACCGCCAGGGAAGTCCCTAGCCACCCTTTTAATTACTGCGAGGCCGAAAGCCTGACCTCACTCCTCCCTCTATCTAGGTGGTTAGGATCTGCGGCAGGAGCCAGGACTCTCAGTGAGGCCGCTCACTCCCGCCTGGGTGCTGAGGGCTTATGTAAGCATGAGGTTTGGGCTCTGTGGGTTAGGGAGCTGCTGCTGGGCTGGACATCCTTTCTGGAGAGGGCAGAAGGGCAGATTCGCTGCTGGTTGTTTGATGTGATTGTTAGAAACAGAGATTTTGGAGTTGAATTTGAAAGAGTTATACAGTTTTTTTTAAACTTCAGAAAATCGTGGTATCAGTACGAAGTAACTTGTTTTACGGTTGCACCAATGGGATCATGTGTAAATCTTTGAAGATCTTTCCGTATCAGCACATACAAACTTCGCAAATTATTGTGAAAATTGGGTAATATCATATGGCTGTGTTATAATTTTTCTAACCGGGTCATATCAATGAACACGGATTATTTCCAGAGTTTTTCTGTTTTTCTCTTTTGACTTTAACTTTACAAACGAGAATAGGGACTTTGTGCACAACGTATTTAACAGCATTGAGAAAAGTGCTTGACACGTAAGAAGTGCTCCTTACACATTCTTACTTTTACTAGTATACCGTGGATAAAGTCTTTGTGGTGTAATTGCTGAGTCGACAGAGATGTGCTTAGATTGATACTTAATGATAAATTGCTCTCAAAAAAGAGAGTACCGGCTTAGGACTCTCCAACATTCATCAGAGAGGGCCTGTTTCCCCACCAACCAGCCAGTTTTATTAAACCTACATTGTTGGAAATGTTAATTGGTGAAAGATACTGCTGTTTTGATTATAATTCTTTGAATGAAATAACTATCCTCACATTCACGGCTTTTCAAAGTTTTTTTATCCATAGCTTTTAACCCTTTTTTCTTTAAGTTATATTTTGATTTCTCAAGCTCTTTCCAGATGAGAGAAATTGTCATGTAGCTGATCTTGTTGAAGCTTGTCTTCTGATTATACGATATTTTTTGCTCTATTCTTTAATTTTTTTATGTAGTGCAGTTTATCTTTCAGTAGTTTCTGGGTGGATTTTTTTTTTAATCAAAATGAAGTTTAATGACGGAAACAGCTATTTTCTTTTCAGACGGCAGTCAAGTAATCTGAAGTTTGCTCAGCTTGATTCCTTTAACTACCTCACCCTCAGGTGGTGTGGGTGCTTTGAAGTGGAGAGGGCAGTAATTTTGCTTATGAATGACTCCATTTGTTTATGAAGTATATCTCTTTCAGAACAACAACTAGAATTAACATCTTAACTTTTTTTTAAGTGTTTATTGAATGTGTTACAATATTGCTTCTGTTTCATGTTTTGGTTTTTTTGGCCACGAGGCATGTGGGATCCTAGCTCCCTGACCAGGAATGGAACCTGCACCCCCTGCACTGGAAGGCAAAGTCCTAACCAGTGGACCACCAGGGAAGTCCAACATCTTAACTTTTTTTGTCTTTAGGAGCCAAATTTAATGCACTGTTGGAAACTGAAGTCATCTTATCTACTCTTAGAAGATAGGATGGGTTTTGCTTTCTTCCAAGTTTGCTGGGGCCGACTTTTTTAAGCTTTTAACAATAGAATGTGTTTTCTGGTTGATTTCCTCGCATTTGTTTCTTCAAGCAGGACCAGAGGAAGCAGAATGTTGCGTTTCGGGGGTTTGTCTGTATCTCCTTTTCTTTCCCCTTAAGTTTCCCAATAAAGTTAACAAAAAGAATGTTTTCTTTAAAGGGAGGTGGGGAGAGATGTGATGGTGATCACAGGTACATCCAAGTATTGTGCTGGCTTGTTTTTAGAATAAAAACTGTCACATGAAGTTAATGGGAACAACGAAAAGATGTTAATTTTGAAGCACTGATATCTTTTGTCATTCTATGCTCTTTTGGTTTTGGGGGTTTTTTTTTGTTTTTTTTGATAGTGTGGGATAATGGGTATAACTGTTTGAAATAGTGATGTAAAAGACTGTCACCATTCTCAAGTGGGTTTTTTAAGGGTGAAATTAAATCAGATTTATTTATTCATGGATTAAATTAAAAAGAATAATCACCCAGAGCTACTCAGCTGACTTGATATCTTTAAATATATTTTTGAAATATTTTATGTAACTAAGACTTGATATTAAAGTTCCACAATTCCATTTCCCAAGTAGGTATAAAATTTTATATGATATCCTATCGTATATAATATATATGATCACTATAATTTTTTTAACGAAAGAGTATGTTTTCTGTGAGAATTTTAACATCTCAGGACTGTATAGCATTTTCCAGCAACGTACGTAATTGGGAGGTGACATAGTAAATATTTGACATTTATGTCATTTGATAATTAAAGTTTTCCTTGGTGCTTAACATGGCAATAAATTTCCACTTATACTGGGGAGGAATTAGTGATTTTAAAATCATTTTTTCATTTGAGACTACTGTCTCCAAGCAGTAGTTTAAATTTAAAAAAATTTAAATTTTTTTATTTTAGTGGCTTCAACTATGAAATTATAATCATAGATGATGGAAGCCCAGATGGAACAAGGGATGTTGCTGAACAGTTGGAGAAGATCTATGGGTCAGACAAAATTGTAAGTCATTTTTCTATCATATCAGTTATGTTTATATTGGGGAAAGATGATGGATGAACAGTGCTTAAATTCAGTCTGTCTAGAAACTGAAAAAGTTAAAGAGCAACTTACACACTTGGGGTTTAGATGCATTTTCATTGTGCTTGAGATTTTACATGTCTTTGATATGTTGAGTCAGTGGTAGGTTTACAGCAAATAGCCTTTGGATGAACTCTGTTTTTATGTCTGACTCTGCAGATCAGTTTCCTTGAAGGGCAGAATTAAAGCATGATACTGAAATGAGAAGGAATATTGGTCGAGCTAGGTTGCAGTTAGTAATGTGTCTTGTTCTTTAGCACTCCCTTTCTCTAGGTATTCTCATACTGTCAGTAGAGAATCCTGCCTACAGCTAGCTTGTAGCTGGGAAAGGTGACTGATTGTTTTCATGTGAAACATGATTTTCCAGAGAACTTGGCATTTTTATTTTTATCTGTAGAACAGTCTTGTGGAAGTATTTAGATTGACTTTCTGAGTCTTAAACTTTAGATATTCCCACTGTGCCTTAAAGCCTGTTGTTCTTCTACAGGAGTAACTTAGGCAGATGTAGAGTTCATTTTGTAATAGCTTTGTAATTTTTATTTTTGATCAGTGTTTTGGCTTTATAAACGTTGGAGCATACTTGTGAGATCACTTCAGCTAATTCTTGGGCCAAAAGCATACATTAAATCCAGGTTTAATTAGAAAACACATTCTAGGCTTTGGGTATTTTGTAATTTGTATAGACCAGAATTTCTCAATCTCAGCACTACTGACCTTGGGACCTGATAGGTCTTTGCTGTGAGGGACTGTCGTGTATGTTGTAGGATGTTAGGATCATCCCTGGACTCTACCCACGAGATGCAGCAGCAGCCCCCCTCCTCAGTGTGGCAACCAAAAATACCTCTGGATAACATCAAGTGTCCCTCCCTTTGTGGGCAGAATTGTCCCTCTTCCCAACAGAGAACGATTGGCATAGGAATAAAGAAGTCTCTTGGAATAGCCAGGACCTGGAAGCAACCTAAATGTCAATCAACAGAGGAATGGATAAAGAAGATGTGGTACATATATACACAATGGAATATTACTCAGCCATAAAAAGGAACGAAGAAGTCTCTTGGAGAATCTTTATTGATATTTGCATTTCAAGAAATGGCAATTAAGCATCATAAAGAATAGGCTTGGGCTTCCCTGGTGGCGCAGTGGTTGAGAATCTGCCTGCCAATGCAGGGGACACAGGTTCGAGCCCTCGTCTGGGAAGATCCCACGTGCCGCGGAGCAACTAGGCCCATGAGCCACAATTACTGAGACTGCGCGTCTGGAGCCTGTGCTCCGCAACAAGAGAGGCCGCGATAGTGAGAGGCCCACGCACCGCGATGAAGAGTGGCCCCCACTTGCTGCAACTAGAGAAAGCCCTCGCACAGAAACGAAGACCCAACATAGCCATAAATACATACATACATACATACGCAAATAAAATTAAAAAAAAAAAAAAGAATAGGCTCTGGGTCCAGATATTCTTGATTAGTCCCAATAATGAAATAATTTCTGTGCAGTTGGAGGAGATCTTAGTTGGTGAGAAGTATTTAAAGAAATGTGTTACTCTTATATACATGGTAAATCTGTGCTAGAGGTTCTTTCCATCTCACAGACGAGCAATTCACAGAACTAGCACACCTCAGTCCTCTCTGAATGTCTCCAGATGTACAAGTGTACAGAGGAGATAAAAACTGAGATTTTCATCCTTCTAGCAGTGACTTCCGATAATGCTAGGTTCATATTTTTGGCCAACAGTTCCTCAGTTTTTATTAAGTTCTGGGCCAGGGCTGATTCACATAATGTATAGAATACTTTCATTATGCACTTCCATTTAATCTGGGAACATCAACCTAACAGTGTTTTGAATGCTTTTGTCATAGAACCTCAGCCTTGAGGTGTGATTGATTGATCTTAAGGAATGCCTGATGAATTGATCTCAAATTCTAAAACAACATGGTCTTCAAAGGGTTCCACTTTTCCCATCAATCCAATAAAATTTAAAATAATGAGGAAAAAATAGCATTTACTATCATGATTTCCATGTGGTACCAGGGAAATTCCCTATTCATTCATTATTTTATCACTTTTAGGTCATTTAAACTAGAAAATTACGTGTGTGCGCGTGCGCGCGCGCCAATAACAAGCTATGCCAGGGAGGGCACTTGCTTGCTTTTTAGGTGACATATATATATTTAGTTGGGGGAAAAATTAGGAACCACCTTACAATACCTCAGATAAAATATTCACAGATGCTTTGTTAGCCTTTCAAACTGGCTGAAATGAATATTTTAGAAAAAAAGCTAAAGAAAAAAAAAATTTAACTCTTGAGGTGAGGAAACAGACTAGAGGTTAAGTGACTTTCCAAGGGTACATAGGTAATAAATGGCAGGAGTGGGACCATAGAAGAATTGGAGGCACATATTCTGAACTGTTAACAGTGATCACAGGGCGGGGAGATATGAGATTTGGAGGGCTTCTATTATGTTTGATGTACATGGCTTGTTTCATCCCCCAACTTGAGATCAGATAGACTCATCTATATTTTGTCATTATTTATAGTTTAGTATTTTTAAAAATTGTTTTGATAATGAAGTGTAACACACATTCATTACTTTTTAAATGTCAAGCATAACTATAGGATTGAGAGATTTGACGACTTAAAAATATTTGGTTCATCCCCAAATACCAACATATTTTCTCTGACAAAGAGATCAGTATCGTAATCAAATGTACAGAAATAAATATTCATAAAAACAAGAACTACAGGGCTTCCCTGGTGGTGCAGTGGTTGAGAGTCCGCCTGCCGATGCAAAAAAAAAAAAAGAACTACAGATGGTCAAAAGTGAAAAAAATATGAGCCTCACTGATAAGAATTGCAAAATAGAGTACGATTAGCCTTTTCTTAGCTGCAGATTTATTTTTATTCTTTCTCCCAACCCGTTTTCGAGAGTACGGTAAAACAGATCCACTCAAATGGTGTTGATCCTAGTGGAAATTGATATAGTTTTCTGAAGTGTCACCAAGATTTTCTACGATAAAGATTTTTACAAAGTAAGTTTTTTGTCAAACAAATCATAGTGTCGTATGGTATTTTCTAAGAAGTTGTGGTAAGCATTCTTCAGGGTATGTGCCCTGTACCCTTACATGCACTTCCTGTGAATTCACAGCTTCTTCTGATGACGGCTGAGTGAGGTGAGCTCTGTGTGCCCATTGCTGCCCCGGGGTCACACAGCAAATTAGCAAGGGGGTTCCATAGTCATCTACTAAGCCATCCTGCCTCGTGTAAGAAAAAGCAATCATACTGATGTGAGGATGGAAAAAAAAGGAGAGGGGTGGAATTAGCAGTCTGAAAGTAAAGCACAGGAGATGAAACAATTTGAACTTTTTACTACATAAGAAGTAAACAAGTATATTCTTTTTTTTTTTTTTTTTTTTTTGTGGTACGCGGGCCTCTCACTGTTGTGGCCTCTCCCATTGTGGAGCACAGGCTCCGGACGCGCAGGCTCAACGGCCATGGCTCACGGGCCTAGCTGCTCCACGGCATGTGGGATCTTCCCGGACCGGGGCACGAACCCGTGTCCCCTGCATCGGCAGGCGGACTCTCAACCACTGCGCCACCAGGGAAGCCCTCTGTTACTCTTTAATTATACCTTGGTCATCTTTTGTCACCAGATTACCTCATTCTTTTAACTGCTCCATGGTACCCTATCTATGTAACGTGGTTTGTATTTTATATAAACTTTTGAACGTTCTGAAAATTATAAATAACAAAATTATCCTTTGTTTGAAAAAAAGATTTTTAGCTAAAACATACGGTTATAGAAAATCTAAGATGAACTTTAAAGGATTTGCTTTTTCAGGGCAAATACCAGATGAGGTCAGTATTTTGTCAGTAACAGTCAAGCACAAAATCAAATAAAACCTGACATGTCTGGTTTGATTTTGTTCAGTGAATAGTAATTATTATAGATGATTGATTGAATGTCTAGTTCTCCTCTATATAAAAACTCATGGGGTAGGAATGTATTTTATCATCTTTGTTCCTCACCTAGACCTATAGCAGCTTGCGTGTAGTTTTTAAAAAAAAGAGAAAATCTATCCTGCTTAAATTAAACTGCAAATACTTTGGAGATTGCAGTCTGAGGCAACCTGCTTACCCACTGGCAAGTGCCGGGGGGCGGGGGAGGGGGGAGGATAAGAAATGCTCAGTAGTTAGTCTACTTGAGCCCCCTACCTCAGAAACTTAGCGCCAAAACCTTGGCATTCTACTTTTCCAGAAATTTAGAGAAAAAAGGAAATAACAACTAAGTCAGTGTTTATATATGAAGCAAGAAGTGTAGAAAGACTAATTGACAAACTGTAAGGAGAAAGAATTTAATCTTAGGAATATAACCTGAAATCATGTCATTGGACCAATAGAGAATAAGATGAGGTCATCCAAGCATGGAGTCAAGATAAGTGGATGGAGTATCAACATTTAAAATCACAAAGGGAATTGAGAAAACAAGCATGGCTATCAAATATTCCAAAAAGGTATAGAATAAGTGAGTTAAATACTCAGTTTTCCTAGGAAGGAATCAATAGATATTGCTTAAAATGATAAATCAAGTAATAGACATAAAAAAATGGTTTTTTTGGTGGATAGCTCTGGGGTGCGGCAGGGGGCGGAGTTTAAGATTTGGTCTGTGGGGTTTGGGTGAAAGAATGTTACTTTTCCTTGAAAGCTATTAAATTATTTGATTTGTTACTAAATGCTTTTTTTTACTTTGGCAAAAAATGTTAAGCATGTTCTGCTTTAAGGTCTAATAAATGCAGCTGTATTTCTGTTAAAATGAGTGAGCACTTATTAAAAAAGAGTTTTTATTAGTCAGATTTTCGATTATTTGTGTTAAAATGCCATTTCTTATTCTTACAGCTTCTAAGACCACGGGAGCAAAAATTGGGACTAGGTAAGTAGAACCTCTCACCCCTCATGCCTGCTCCTTGCCTTGGTAAGATTATCCAGTGTGTATTTCCCCAGTTTGGAACAGGGCCAAAATACAGTCACCTTCTGTGATGGTTTTTAATGATCTTAATGATATTCAGATGGTTTAACTTGAATTGCCTGTATGAGGCAAAGCCCACTTAGGAAAACAGAAACCACTGTAATTCTTTCAATATAGGGAATTTAATACAGAGAATCTAGTTACACAGGTGAAGGAATTGCTGAGAAGCCAAATGGAACAGTGGGGCTACTCAGAGATTAGTAGCAGCTGGAGCTCACTACCGCTCCTGGGCTGGAGCAACAATGGAGGAGATGGTGTTTTTAGAGCCGGGAACCCGGGCTGCCCAGAGGAGCTAGAATGGTGGAGTCAGGGATGCTTGGCAGAAGTGGGAGTCATGGATGGAATCTGGTCCATGCTGGGAGGCAGAGTAAAGGGGAGGACACTTGGACTTTTCCCCTTCTCCTTGAGATCTTCCTTCTTCCTGTGCCTCCCAAAGCTGCTTGGAAACCAGTTGACAAGAAAACAAATATAGTACCCTGCAATATAGAACAGAGAAGGGATCTAAGGGCAAACATTTAGACCAGCACACTCCCTTAGCTGTAAGTCTTTTGAACAGTTCTTGAAGTTACAAGTTTTTAAAAGGTGTTTATTTTTTTAAAAGGAAGCTTTTCCAGCTTTAAAATGTAAGGGGTTATAGAAAAGCTCAGATGAGGTCAGTCATTCTAAGATGAAAATCTTGAATGCCTTTATTTCTATTGTTGGTCACAGCTGCTTTATGTTGAAAAGTGGTATAATTTTACTGAAAACTTGGGGGAGCATGGAGGAAGCACAGTTCTTGAAAATTGAGTATCTGCTCTCCTCAAGACCCTCAGTTTCATGGCATGATCAAATGTTCTGAATATCTGAATCCAGAAGGTTCTTTGGGATTGAAATAATCTTGAAACTGCCATGAAAGCCACCAAGAATTACTAACCCATCAGTGGAAATCCAGAAAGCTGTGGATAGTCATGTTTTTAAAAAATTAATTAATCTGGTTGGCTCTTAGTTGCAGCAGGCAGGCTCCTTAGTTGTGGCTCGCCAGCTCCTTAGTTGCGGTTTGCAGGCTCCTTCGTTGCAGCATGCGTGTGGTATCTAGTTCCCTGACCAGGGATCGTACCTGGGCCCCCTGTGTTGGGAGCGTGGAGTCTTAACCACTGCGCCACCAGGGAAGTCCCTGGATAATCACTTCTTAACAAAAGAAGTCAGAAGAGTTCTGCCTTTCTAATAAGATACTGTGGTGATTTGGGGCTAGAGAATGCAGGAATTCCCACATCCTGTCCCTGACCAGTCACCCTTACCTGCCAAGTCCCCGAGGAATATTTAAGCATGAGGGTGGCTAAGTAATTGCTAGTTGCACCTTTGGCACCAGATACAGGGCTCTAGTGTACCAGCCTTACAGTGTAGAAGACACTCACTGTGTAGCTTTTGTGGGACAGGGGTGATGGGCTGAGCAGAAGCAGAGAGACTGGTTAGGTAGGGATCCAGGCATCAGAAGATGGTGCCCGGGACTAAAGTGAAATTGGAGACGAAAGAATGAAATTGAGAGTTTTGTTTTTTTTTAAGGGCTTCAAATGCTTGGCCTTTTTATTTTTTTATTTATTTATTTATGGTTGTGTTGGGTCTTCATTTCTGTGCGAGGGCTTTCTCTAGTTGTGGCAAGCGGGGGCCACTCTTCATCGCAGTGCGTGGGCCTTTCACTATCGCGGCCTCTCTTGTTGCGGAGCACAGGCTCCAGACGCACAGTCTCAGTAGTTGTGGCTCACGGGCCTAGTTGCTCCGCGGCATGTGGGATCTTCCCAGACCAGGGCTCGAACCCATGTCCCCTGCATTAGCAGGCAGATTCTCAACCACTGCGCCACCAGGGAAGCCCGAGAGATGTTTTTGATGGAGAATAACAAACAGGACGTTAGAGGACTAATGTATGCTTTTCAGAGGTGCTTAGCAATTTCTTCCCTGTTCAGATATATACCTAAGCATTTCTGGTGATTTCCTTTAATGGATATAAATATTTTCATTTTTAGGAACTGCATATATTCATGGGGTGAAGCATGCCACAGGAAACCACATAATCATCATGGATGCTGATCTCTCACACCATGTGAGTGGCATATTTCTTTAGAGGCTATTTATGATAGTCTTAGCCTGCTTTACTGACCTACTCTTTATTCTTTCTAAATTTCAGCCAAAATTTATTCCTGAATTCATTAGGTAGGTATTTCTAATATTTGAAAGAATTATTCAAATCATTTATCTTATATTGATTTTGTACTTATTTTCATTTTTCATTCATTAAGAATACTCATGGTATTTTAAGTTTGCTATCAAAAATGAAACCAAGGTATAGCTTTGAGACATGTAAATATGTAGTTACGTGACTAAATGATATCTTTTAGGAGCCCTGAGAGGAGTAATCAACAGATAATTCCTTTGTTACCTAATTCTTACAGACTACAGAAAAATATGAAAAGCAGCTTCCCTGTTAAATGGAATTAAGCCCTGCATCATAAGAGTAGAACACTATGAATACCTGGGGTTTATTCCAGGAATGCCAAAATCAGGAATCAGTCAAAAAAATTCATTTATCACATTAACAAAGAAAGCAGCATGACTGGGGACTTCCCTGGTGGTCCAGTGGCTAAGACCCCACACTCCCAATGCAGGGGGCCCAGGTTGGATCCCTGGTCAGGGAACTAGATCCCACATGCATGCTGCAACTTAGCGTTTGCATGCCACAACTAAGGAGCCTGCTGGCCGCAACTAAGGAGCCTGTGTGCTGCAACTAGGACCTGGCACAGCCAAATAAATAAATAAATATTTTTTAAAAAGACAAGAAAAGAAGCGTGATTAAGTCTATAGATGGTAAAGCGTATTTGGTAAAATTCACTAGCCATTGCTAATTAAAATTTTAATGTAGATATAGAAGGAAACCATACTGAAGGAAAACATACTGAAGACAACCTGGTCCTAACACAAAGGTCTTACTTTTTGTTTTTGTTTTTTTTTGGCCTCACTGCGTGGCTTGCAGGATCTTAGTTTCCTGACCAGGGATTTAGTCCAGGCCCTCAGCAGAGTCCTAAGCACTGGACCACCAAGGAATTTCCCCACAAAGGTCTTATTAAATGGTAAAATGTTGAGTCATTTCCAATAAACTCATCAATGATTATAGGTGTACCACCTATCATTAAACATGGAGATTTTAAGTAATGTAACATAAGAGTTTAGTATATATTGGTAAAGGATACAAAATTACATTTATTTGCAGGTAATGTAACTATATTTTTAGAAAACCCAAGAGACCATGATACCTCTCAGAATAAGAATTTGGAAGCTGTTCTGAATGTAAGCTAAATACACAAAAACAGAATCAGATCAGGTCACTCGCCTATTTAGAACACTTCCAGGAGTTCCTGTGAACACATGGGGAAAAATCCACACTCCTTTACTTGCCCCTCAAACCACCCGTGATGTGGCCCCTGCCTTGCATTCTGAACTCATCTCATGCCCCTCCCCCTTGCCTGAAGTGCTCTTTCACTGCTCCTTAATGGCCAACTACTCCTTGTTTGATCTCTGCATAAAAGTCACCTCAGAAATACCTTCTCTGCTTAGATCACCAATACACAAAAGCTCCTTTGACCTGATAAGGCAGTAGAACCAGTGGAGTAGAAAATGGGTGAAAGATACAAGCAGGCCATGTGTAGAAGAAGTCCAAATGGCTAATAAACCTAAGAGAAGATATTCACCCTGGGATGTAGTCAGGGAAATGCAATTAAAATAACCGTGTGTTACTATTAGTTTTTCAAAATTAAAGACATATAGAACAATACATCCAGCACCAATAAGATGATAGAAAATGAACATGGATATTGCTGGAGGAAGTACGAGTTACTACAGCCTTTTTGGAAAGTAATTTCTGGTGATATCTGTTAGAATTAAAAATACTCATAAGCTTTGCTTTAGCAATTCTGTTGAAAGCTCAACAGCTTTTTCTAATTGCCAGCTAATTTATTTTTTTCTGCAGGAAGCAAAAGGAGGGTAATTTTGACATTGTCTCTGGAACTCGCTACAAAGGAAATGGAGGTGTATATGGCTGGGATTTGAAAAGGAAAATAATAAGGTATATATGTATGTGCTCATGATTTCTCTATTTTTTTTTTAGTGTAACTACTAGAAATATGTTTTTAACAGGTATTTGGATTAAATTACCATGCTGCCTTGGAGTTTGTGGGATCAGATTGTAACTTCCAGAAAGTATTCCCAGATAGCTTCTTACCCACAGTTTTTCCTGTGTTAGAGTATTGTATTTTGGATGGTTTTCACTTGGGAAAAATTTGCATAAACCTTTGAACCTTTCGTAGAAATGGTCTAATTCAGCACAGTTTGTTCTGCTGGACCTTCAGCTTTGATTTAAGTGAACTATTCATCTATATTTTTGGACTAAATATGTAATTTTTTCCATATATATTTTTCAGTAATTTAAGACACTTCATGATTTCAGCTTTTACTAAGCAGCATAAAGTAGTGAGGCTTTGGAGGCAGACCTGAGTTAAAATCCTGATTGTGTCTTTTAATTACTTGTGTCCCCTTGCATGTTTTACCTTTTCTAGGCTTTACTTTCCTCATGATAAGATGGAAATAAAACAAACTGTTTCAGTTTTCTATTACAGTGTAACAAACCATCCCAAAACTGAGTGACTTACAGCAACAATTTATTGTTTCTCACAGTTCTGTGGTTTGGCTACTGGTTCCTCTGCTGACTTCACCTGGGCTCACTCATGCAGTTTCCTTCAGCTGGAGGCTCCAAGATGGCCTTATTCATATGTTTGGCAGTTGATACTGGTTGTTGGCTGGGCCATCTCAGTTCTCCTGCATGTGGCCGCTTACCTGGGAAGCTAGATCAGCTTCTTTACATGGCATCCTAAGGGCAGCACCCAAAAGTACCAAGGCTGCAACTGCAAGGACTCTTGAGTCCTAAGCTCTGGGGCTAACACCAAATTAATTTTTGGTCAAAGCAAGCCCATAATCAAGGGGGGGGGGAAATAGAATCCACCTCTTGATGGGAAGACCCACAAAGAATTTTTGACCATATTTAATCTATGGCACCTAGGTTGTTGGGAAGATGTGTTTCTATCTCTAAAGGATCTATATAGCTTATTGCTTTTTGTGTAACAACATAACTTTATATAAATTCTTACTGACAGTATTTTTTATCACCCACTTCATTCCTATTGAAGGTTCTGTTAGGTTAATGTCACTTTTGCCTCTTAACTGTTAAACCTTGGGCAAGTATTTCAAACATGTAAGAGCCTCAGTCTTCAGTGAAATGAAGGGTTCGGATAACTCAGTGGTTTTCAGTCCTGCTGAGCATTGAAGTCATGTAGGGGGAAAATTATACACAACTGCTCCCTGTTTGTCCTCCCTTTCTTGTGCACACACATACTGCAGACCATTTGAGTGGATCTCCAGAGGTGGTGCAAGAGCATCAGTATTTTTCACAGGCTCCCAGATGATTCTGTTGTGCAGCCAAGGTTGAGAGCAACAAATCAGTGATCTCTCAGGCCTCTCTGAATTGTTCATTAAAGCTACTATTTAAAATCAGGGAGTCCCAGTCAGAGACAATTTACAACGTTTAGTTGGATCATTTAGTTGTATTGAGTTGTATCTGTCATTAGTTGTTAATGTCTGCACTGACTTTATAGTATAAACTCCTGAGAAAGAGTCTATCACTTGCTCAAGGTCTCATTTGTATGGTCCAGAACCAGAATTGAACCCAAGTCTGTCTGACTCTTGCTGCATTTTAATTAAAAGACCCCAATTTTAAAATGCATTACCTTAAATAGATGTACAAATATATACATACAGACATGCACACATACACATAAATACATATACACTCACATTCCTTTGATTACACCCATTTTGGTGGGTAAACTATGTCCTGGAATTTTTTTGTAGCTATTTGAAGGAAAATGTTTCTGTTAGCCATTATGCCAGCTATATCCCTAACCATGTTATTTTTATGAAATAGACACTCCTGGGACTTCCCTGGCAGTCTAGTGGTCAAGACTCCGCACTTCCAATGCAGGGGGCTTGGGTTTAATCCCTGGTCTGGGAACTAAGATTCCACATGCTGTGGGGCACGAGGGGGCGGGGAAGGGAGGGAGGGGAAGGAGAAGAAGGAAGGAAGGAGGGAAGGAGAAGGAAGGAAGAAAGAAAGAAACACTCCTAAGGAGTGCCTTGATGGTTACCCTGGCTTTGCAGAGAAACTGTTTTCTCCAGGCTGCTTCCCCTGCTGCCCTCCGCACCCCCGCCAAAAAAAAAAACAACACCTTTTTTCTGAATCTGAACACTCTAAAATAATCTGAGCCCACTAAAATATAGCTGCAGTACCAAAGTCATTTTTTCCAAGTGTACTTCACATCTTTTTGAAATGTTAATAATAGCTATTAGTCAGTAATAGATTATAGTTGATTGATACCTAGTTGTGTTTGAAGCACAGATCCTAAAGTCATTGTTATGGACTGAATGTTTCTGCTAGAATTCATGTGTTAAAGTACCTTGTGCAGGGAGTGTTGGTATTTGGAAGTGGGGTTTTGAGGAGGTAATTAGGTTTAGATGAGGTCCTGAGTGTGGGGCACTTTTGGTGGGATTAGTGCCCTTTCAAGAAGAAACCAAGAAAGCTTGGCCTTTCTCCTCCTACCCCCACCCTCAGCCCCTCTGCCCCCCTCCACTTGAGCACACAGCAAGAAGGTACCATGTGTAGGCTAGGAACAGGATCCTCACCAGGAACCAAGTCTACAGCACCTTGATCTTGCACTTTTCAGCCTCCAGAACTGTGAGAATTGAATATCTGTTGTTTAAGCCACCCAGTCCATGGTATTTTGTTATAGAAGCCCAAGCAGACTAAGAAAGTCTCAGAATGGAACTTTTGGTCAATTTCCAGAGATTGCCAAAAACCAAAACCTTCTCCCACCTGCACACCTTTTTAAAAAAAAAAAAAAAAAAGCCATTTTAATGCAAACTGACCTATTACCGAGTTGGAAACTGCCATCACTTGGTGATCTGAATCTGAAAAAGAAACTCCAGATCCCTGATAGATCACTTTTGCTGTCTTGACAGATGTTTGTAATTCTAAATCATGACTGTTGGCAAATATGGCAAAAATCTATTACCATTCTCACCTAGAGTTTGGAAGAATGAGTGTTTTATGGTCACCTCTACATGTCACATTCCAAGAATAAAAATCCCTATTTTCTGAAAAATGAGAACTACCAGATCTCCTTTCACTGATTTCTGTTTGTTCCATAGAATTAACATTTTTGTGAAATAGTGTTGCATTTATGAAGTCAGTGTAGCATTTTTAGCACTCTACACTTGGGTGTATTTCTTTTGTTTAGAAATTGTACTTTATAAAGAAAATCTTTTATTTGGCAGCCGTGGGGCCAATTTTATAACTCAGATCTTGCTGAGACCAGGAGCGTCTGATTTAACAGGAAGTTTCAGGTACAGTGAGAACCTGTGATTGTGTGTATTCTACTATTTACAATTTCTTGCCTAAATTTCTTGCTTTATAATGAGTTAAAGAAATACTTTTCGTTTCTATCCCATTTTTGTTCTGGAACGCTAAAAAAGACTGAAGTTGGTTAGGAGCTGCTAATGAAGCGTAAGCATCTTAAGGGAAAATATTGTACCTTTTAAAGAGTATGGACGACAGGTTCGTGTGCTTGTTAACAGTAGTATCGCTGCTCAGCCCTTGAGGGACCTGAGGTGACCATGGACTGCTCATTCAGGACATTACTGAGATGGGCTTCAAAAACAGTGCCTCTTCCAGTAATTTTCTGCAGCTTATAGCATTGTCCACAGAAAAGTTTAAAATCTTTAATATTTATATAGAGCTTTTTCAGTTTCCTTATTCTCCATGTTTTTTATAAAAAAAAAATTCTTGTTTAAATGGAGCGAAGCCTCCTGCTAGGTCCTTGGGGGTTTTTTATTTTTGTTTGTTTCTGGGGGTGTGTGTATTATCTCTGAAACTATAAAATTTCTGTTCATCTGCTTTAAGGCTGAGACCCATGCATTGGTTAATACTTTCTATTACTTGGCATTTGCTTCTATCCATTAAATAATGTTGATTCTTCCATAGTTCATTAGAACACACAAACACACAAATTTAGGAGCTGGTTGTTGAAGGTTAGCTGGTACCATTAGTGCAACTGCAAGTCTGTTGGATAGCAGTTCAGAGAGAGTAAGACAGAGTCAAAAGTGAAGAGAGGAGCCATCGCAAATTAGAGGTCAGATAATGAAAATGAAACCTCTCTAGAATTAAAATGTAAATTATTTTGAAAGCACAATTTGGTGTATAAAAGATAGATAGGAACCCCATAAATACATCTCTTCAGTTCCACACTTCGAGGCAAGTGAATAATGTGTTATAAAGATCTCTGATTTCCAGAGGAAAAAAAAAGATTGTAATTAAAAAAAAAAAAAATTTTAATAAAAAAAAAAAAAGATACTGTGGTGGAGGAGACAGGGGTGGCAATGAAGAGAAATAAATCTTACAAAGTGACTCTTACGGGAATAAAGTGACTCTTATAGGGAAAGAATTCGTAGCCTAATCCTAGTTTTAAAGGTACTGCTGAAACGTTATTCCATTATCCCACCATCATAGTTCTTCCCATAATCCCAGACCTCCCTCCCCTACTTAACATCATTTGACATATATCTTTAGTTTCTACTGCTAAAATCCCAAAACATGAAAAGGTGCCTGAAACACAGTAGGTTCCTCAATAAACATTTGTTATTGAATGAGTATTACTACCATCAGAATCTCCTTTCTTCACATTTATTCCAGACTTACCCTTTTGAGTTCTGATGGAGACTGTGTGGGTAAAGGAGTGCATACCACTAATCCCCCTCAGGTTCCTCTAAGGACTGTGCTTTAGCCTTATAGCCACCTAAAAGCTTGAAAAACAAAAGGTGGGGTAACCTGAAAGGAAGCCTGAGAAAATATGTGAGTTCCAGGTATAAAGCCCTCTGGCATTATAGATCCAGGTGGCTTTAACTACCAAGGGAACAAAGTTACTGCCTCACCTAGTTTTCTCCTAAACAAAAACAGCAAGAAGAAAGAGGTAGGAATTGCTGCCTTTCTACTCACTGAGGCTCAGGGTTTTTTTGTTTTTTAACCTCAGTGACTCTGAAAATAGGGAGCTCCTGAAGAACGTGACTGAGTTCACCCATAGGACTTCCCAGCTCCCGTCTTTCTTTGTAAATCTGATGAGCTCTGCCTTTGGCCTGCAGTCCCTCTAAAGTTAGGGTGTGCATTCGCCCAGTTTAAGTGTCTAACTGTGACCTCAGTTGCTGATATCTGATTCCCACCAGGATTGCCTCATCCTGTGATCCCTACTTCCTGTCTTAACCTAGCTTAACCAAGCTCATCCTAGAGGGACTTAGTTTATCTCAGGAATTTATTTAGATCTCAGGAAATAGGAACTTCATAGACATTTATGCGGAGATGCCTGTTAACTACTTCTTTCTTGTTACCTAGTTTATATTGTTGCTTCATCTGTCAACTCTGTTGTTCCAGAATTTGAAACAGTTTCTCCCCTTTCAGCTTTAAAAATAAATTAAGAAAATAAAAACTACAAACGATGGGGGGGTTCTGCTCCACATGATTCACTTTATCACCATATTTTTATAATTTCTGATAGTGTGAAAGGAAGATAATTCTCTAAAAGATACTAAGAATTCATTTTCAAAATCGTCCCAAATTATTTACCAAATATTTTTATGGCCTTTCCAGTTCAGGACAAATGGATCATAATCATCAACTGTGAGAACTTTTCTATATACAAATGGCTGGTGAAAGTTTAAGGTTTTATAAATACCAGTGAACTTTTTGTAAGGTCAGGATACATGTAGGCATGTATATTTATCCAGGTGTTCATATACATTTTAATTTCTTACAGGTTATACCGAAAAGAAGTTTTACAGAAATTAATAGAAAAATGTGTTTCTAAAGGCTACGTCTTCCAGATGGAGATGATTGTTCGGGCGAGACAGCTGAATTATACTGTTGGCGAGGTATGGTAAATAGTGTTATACTCCTCATAAAGAAACAATAGGGTTATACTCTTTATCATAAAAAGGTTAATTTTCATAAACTACTAAAAAAATGTGGAAGGCTTCCAGGTGTCCATGCAAAAGGGTGAAAATTCACATTTCTTTAAAATTAATATATTTGTCTTACCAAGATTTAAAGCATAACAGAAGGCAGCATTCCCTTTTAAATAAATAAAAGTTACCGGTATCTTCTTTCTCCTTTCCCTTTCTTCTGACCACTCAGCATTATGGGATGAGTCTGCTGCTTTTCCCCTTGTCTCAGCCATCAGCCACCCTACTTAAAAATGAGTGGTGAATCCCTTTTGCCCGTTGCCTATGAGTAAATGAAAAGGGCAAGAATTGGGGGAGCAGAGGGGATTTGTAATATTTCCAGCCGGCTAGTAAGTTCTTAGGGAACACTCTCCTTATTTAACAATAATATTCTTATTCAGAGCAAGAAAATAGCTAACTAGAATGTTACTACTGTTGTGGAAGTTATGAGATTTTTAACTTAGTGCTAAAACAGTGACAGCTAAATTTGATGGACTGAAAAAAATTAGGTGAAAGGCCATTTTACTTTGGGCATATAATTTTTCTTGGAAGCTTGAGTAAACCAACTTAATATTCAGGATCAACGCTTTTCAAAACAGTTGTAACTTGGCTGGATGACCTATTTTTAGATAGTAAAATGCATGTTTAATTTTGAAGACTTGGAGGTGCACACAGTTGCTGTAAGAATCCCATAATTCGGATTTACCTTGAAGGACTTGCTATCAGCGGACTAATCTTGTTTCTGTTGTATGAGTAATTGTTGTATGCCTGCTATGCTTCCTTTCTAATATTTTTGAAGACTCACTTAACATATATTTTTTTAACTAGGTTCCAATATCATTTGTGGATCGTGTTTATGGTGAATCCAAGTTGGGAGGAAATGAAATAGTCTCTTTCTTGAAAGGACTATTGACCCTCTTTGCTACTACATAAAAGAAAGTTATTCATTTATACTTAATCATGTTCATTTCAATTTAAACATAAAAGAAGCCTGGTTGCTGATTTTTATAAAATGTACTCTTAGAACATAAATCTTAAGGTAAGGTAAATTTCATGCAAATCTTTTTTCCTGAGAAACTCCATTTTACATGTCAAATTAAATTAGAAAAATGAGCAGCGTTCTCAATTTTCGTTTACATTTTGCTGTACTAAGACCTATAAATAAATGTATATGAAATTTTTGCATAAAAATGCTTTCATTAGCGTATGCAAATGCAGGATTTCTTACATGGGGAAGATTTTGAAATATTCTTTATAAAAACTGTGTTCAGGGGCTTCCCTGGTGGCGCAGTGGTTGAGATTCCGCCTGTCGATGCTAGGGGACATGGGTTCGTGCCCTGATCCGGGAAGATCCCACGTGCCGCGGAGCGGCTGGGCCTGTGAGCCATGGCTGCTGAGCCTGCGTGTCCGGAGCCTGTGCTCCGCAATGGGAGAGGCCACAACAGTGAGAGGCCCGCGTACCGCAAAAAAAACCAACCAAACAAACAAAAACTGTATTCATAGCTCTGGATTCATACCTAATACATGTCAGAAGTAAGAGGAGTGCTAATTATATTCATGAAATACACATATGATACATGGCTGTTTCTATATGAACTAAAAAAGAAATACACACCTCTGGCCCCCCCCCCTTTTTTTTTTTTTTGGCTGTGCTGTGCAGCTTGTGGGATCCTAGTTCCCCAACTAGGGTTGAACCGGGGCCCCCGGCAGTAAAAGCGCCGAGTCCTAACCACCGGACCACCAGGGAATTCCCAGCTGTAGTAATTTTTAAACAACTATGTTTTTTTTCCTCAAAATATTTTTCATGTTATTTCAGGACCCTTAACAAAGCATACATCTTTAGTAATATGACTAAATCCCCTGTAGCTCTTCTGTTGAGAAAACTGTTCTGCCAGTTGAAATGTTCAGTAAAGCCCTCAGAAATATTCTATTTACCCACCTTAAGTGGGTATTGCAAAAAAGATTAATTTCCAAGTATAGCATAGCTTTTAGATCACGCAGTGTCTTTTAAAATTTTGAGTAAGGCATACTTTGAGCAAATAAGCTTAAGATCAAATTGACTTTCCTTAGCAAGTAAAAGGAAGGGGCGTCTCTAAGTCATTTAATAAGCAGATTCAGTGAACAGTATTCCTACTACTGCATTTTCCTGGCTTAATTTGGCTGCTGAAGAAACTTCAAGTCTGATTTTTCCATTTGCATTTCTAACAGATCCTACCAGAAATGAATACCAGAGTATAAAACCTTTGGTGTCGTTTTGAACATTACCAATTCCCATAGTTGAATCCATAGGACACATTCCAATAAGGGCCTCTACTATTCTGTTTCCCTTTTAAGCAGAGCTGAACAGCTGGCCCACCGTGGACCCCTCTTCCTTGGGGAAGTGACTTCTCTCATCACTACTAACAACTAGAAAATTTATTACCACTGATGTAAAATAATTTTTTTTGAGTGTTTAGATTCTTTCTTGTCTGAGCCCAAAGTTAAATTTTCATTGTCAACTCTGTGGAGCAGAGATTAAATAACCACCTCAGAGAGCCCACTATAAAATACTGTCTTCTCAGACCTCACTAGGGTAGGTACCTTTTGCCTTTGTTTAGTCTTTTGGTTCTTATTCCCACAATCATTACAACACTATCATTATTTACAGTAATTATTTGAGCAGTGAAAACTTTCACCATTTGGAAGTTATTTAGAAAAGAATCTGGACTATTTAGATAGATTTTTGTAGTAAATCTGGTGACTTAAACACTAAAATCTTTTTAAACATTTACATGTGAATCCAGCATCCCTTTTTACTTTGTAAATGGGGCCAAGGATGAAATCCAGATGTTCTCCCTTTGTATTGGTATTGTCTCTGTATGAAATCTAAATATATCTAAGGAAAACTAAATTTAAAATTATTTTGCTTATTTCATATTAGTTCTTGCCTGTCTTCTGCAACATGGAATTAGCTTCTTCATCTTTGTTTCTCTAAATTGAATGTTTTGGGTCCCCTCCTCCTTTTTACAACTTTTTTCAGCTGTTTTCCCTTGAAATACTGATTTGGCTTTTAAAGATATAGTTTATCACAATTTCAGAAATTAACGGAATACTGTGTTGGATGAAACAGCTTGTTAAACCTGCTAACTGAAGCCTTAGACATTGAGCTATACGTAACCACAATTTGTTCTGTTTTCAGTAAATTCAGATTCTTTGCGGATGTTACGTATGGTTTGAAACTATTTTAACATGAAATTTAGAGAAACAGCAAAAGATAAGTGTAAGATGTACAGAGCACATCTTAACAGGTTTGGTTAATCCTTCACAATTGACATTTATTACTTTTAAGTATGTCTGGCCAGTGACAGACACTCATATGCACTCAACTATAAAAGGTGGATTCAAGAATGTTGAGAACACAATGTGTTGGTCGGGGCTGACCTAAATTTACAAAGGCCCACGTTGTGTCCTATGCTGTCCAAATTGTGGGAGCACTAAAAGGCTTGGGACTACAGTCTGGTTAAGGATCTTGTGGAGGCCCACTGGCAACATCATTTCACATCCTTGGGCTTCACTAGCCCAGTGGCCTCAAACGCTAGGGATCCCACTTGTTTTCTTCAGGCCAAAGAGAAGAGTCCATCACTGATTCGGAAGAATGTCCAGTCCCAGGGCAACAGCCGGCCTTCTGTAAAACGCAGGCCTGTCCACTGAATAGCGCACCTCACCCGCAAGGGGTCATCCATGGGGTTGGGTCTCATCTCAAGTGGGTGTGTGAAGCACGAGGCCCTCACACCTCATTTAAAGCAGGAGGTGTCGGGCATGACCGGCCAGGTGTGTCTGCCCTTCCGGCTGCTGCTGCTGCCCAGCCCGAGAGCGCGGGCTTCCCAGCACGTGGAGCCGCGGGGCTGCGCGCACGCCCCCTCCCACCAGATGTAGTCCAGGCCCAGCTGGGCCCGCGCAAGGATCCCCAGCGCGGCCACCTGACTGAGTGCAGCGCGTGCTGCGGCCCTCTGCTTGTGCCTCCGCCGCCGGCGCTGTGGCCAGAGGAAGGCGCCCGCCGTGCACACGGGCCATGGAGGCGCACTGCGGCCATTATCCGCGGCGCCTCCTAGTGGGTCAATGGCAAATCCTCTTGGTTCTCGCGAGAGCTCCCCCTCAGTGGGGATTATATAATGTCCCTTAGGTGGGGGTGGGGGTGCTGATGCCACCCTCCCTCAGAAAAAGTTAGGAGCAAACACAGGTGGGAGTAAGAGTTGTCTATGGGGGGGGGAGGGTACTGTCCCCCACTGCCCCCCTTAGTTAGCTGGACAATGAGTCCTCTTATGCTAATGAGATACTTACGTCACTTCCGCTCTTTCTCGGCCGCCATTTTGGCTAGGGCAGGTTCGGGGACTCGCTCCGAGGCGCTTGTATTGTCTGCTGAGGGGAGACGCGGATCAGCCCCCCTCCCCCGCCCGTTGCTGCCGCCGCCTCCGCCGGCCCGGTCTCCCCTCCGCCGCCCGCCGGGATCCATGAACTGAACTCCCGCCCCCCCGGCCGCCGCCATCTTGTGCCCCCTCCCCCTCCCGCGGGCAGCGCTAAGGGGGATTTTGGCGTCTCCTCAGACACAGCTCCCTCTCTCGGTCCCCGCTGCTGAGGAGTAAGAGGAGCGCGGCCGTCGCCGCCCGCCTGCCCGCGCCGGTGAAGCCGCCTCTCCCACACCCTCCGTCTCCTCCCTCCGCCCCTCCTTTGTCTGCACCGCTCGACGACGCTGCCGCCGCCGCCCGCGCGGGGACTGGAGGGAGCCGCTCGCGCCGCCGCCGCCGCCCGCCGCTCTGCTGCGCCCGCCGCGCCCCCCGGCAGCAGCCGCGGCCGCGGCGCGAGCCGGACCCCGCCGAGGCCGCCGAGCCGGAGCGCGACGAGGCCCCGGGCGGCCCTCGCCGCCGCCAGCGCCGTGCCGCCGCCATCCGCCCGCCGCCGCCGCCCGGCCCCCGAGCACGCCGGCCCCGCGCGCGCCTCGAGGCCGAGTCAAGGTAAGCCCGGCGACCGCCGCGCGCGGACCCACGGCCGGCCCCGCGGGCGCATTATTGTTGAGACCGCCAGCCCTCCGGCCGCACACGCTCCTTTGCATACTCCGGTGCTGACGGAGCACCCGCCCCGGCGCGGACCGCTACCCGGGCTCTTGCTCCGCGGTCCGGGCGCCTCCTCCTGCAGCCCGACCCCCCTTCCCCGCCCCGTGAGCCCGCGGAGGCCAGCAGCCGCCCTGGCCGCCGGAGCTTTTGCGGCTAGTGGCATCTCTCTCCACCCCGCCCCCAGCAAGAATCGAGCTTCTCCCATCCCTGGAACTACTCCCGCCCCCCGCCCAAAATGAGCCCCCCACGCACACCCCCAATCCCTGGGACGAGCCTTCTGCCAGGTCTACCCACCTTTAGTCGGGGGAGGGGGGGAATAGATTGGGGGGCGGGGAGCATGCATGGCACGGAGTGAAAGTCTTTGCCTCCCCTGTGCAATCCTTCCTCCCCAACAAGCCAGCTCCCCTCCTATCCTGACCACGGAGTCCTCCACCACCCCCTTTTCTCAATCGCAGCTGCCTGGTCAGCACGACCTCTTGCGAGCATTCTGAGCCCCAACTTTGCAGTAAGATGGTAAAAAATGGAAATCCAGAAAGCTGCGAAAGATTGTTTTCTTTTTTCTTTTTGTGTGTGTGTGCAATGAATGGGGAGTAGTTCTTTGAGCACCCTTTTATTCACCTCTTCTTTCCTCTGGGCTGCCTGCCTGCCTTCCCCTCCCCCCAAACCTGGATGCCTGTCTGCTGGAAAAGGCGCGATTGCTTCTCTTCCTCTTCTGCCCAAGACCAGGCGCTAAGGTCTAATAGTCTTTTCAGCCACACACATACCCACACTGAGTCTTCTTGATGTTCTTGCCTTCCCAATTCCTCTGGACAGTTCTTGCCATAACCCCATTTCTCAGACAAAGGCTTAGGAGGGAAAAGAACCAAACTGTTTCCTGTGTTTGCCATTTTGATGCTGTCCATCCCCACACACCCAATCTCTTTCCCTGATGCTTCTTGTGCCAGTGTCTTGAACCTTCAGAATGGGGAAGAAACAAAAACAAAAGAACTCCTGGGTAGCTTGATACAGTTTCCTTATAAATCCGCATTGTTGCTTCTGGTTTATGGCCTTGAAGAAAATACCAGCCCCCACCCAAAATGCACCGCAGCCAAGTCGGCTAAAGGCGATGAGCGTTGGAGTCAGTAGGGGGCGCATTCCCTGCACTGGGTAAGGCTGCAGAGGGGGGAAGGGCCCCAGAGCTAGAACAGGATGTGCTTCACAGCGCCTTCTACAGACCATGGGAAAATGGACCCAGCAAGACACACTCACACACTCTTAGTTGGTGAGCTGACAGCAACATGGTGAAGGATCAAGTGAGTCAAGAGCAGTGATTTTATTTCTTTTAAAGAATTTACCCTGCGTTTTAGAAGTTCTCTCTTTTTACTTTTTCAAAACTGTTGACCCTTGGACAACCCACATTTGTTCTTGAGGAATCATCTTGGCACATCCTTGGTACACAGATAGCCCCTTCTCTGGAATTCTTCCACCTTAAGCTTTGAATGTGTCACCATATCTTCCCAAGGTCAGATGGTAAAGGGAAAAGTTTAAAACCTCGGAGTAACAGGTTTGGGGGAATTGCTGATTACTTCCCTTCTTCATGGCCCCAACCTTTTCAGCTCTTTGAGAGTTGAAAATCCTTGAGGGATGTTAGATTTTAGTGGGGTAGTAATTTTCATAAGTATGTAGATGGGTGTCATGATTTGCAAAGCCTTGTTGGTAAACATCAAGCCCATGTTGAGTTCTTCATTGTCAGACTCAACAGAGTTGGTTGTAAAATTTTCTTTCTTTCCAACTTTGGACTTGTGGTTGCTGTTCATTATCTCAGTAGCCAACCACCTTTGCAAAAGTGTTGACACCAGTCTTCTGTGAGCACCCACTTTCATAGGGTGTGTTGATTTCTATAGATTTTACTCCTCTTGTTATTTCCATAGGTGTGAGATGCACAATGCGAAACCTAGGCCCCAGCTTTTGCACCATGATGCACAGGGTTGTACTTTTTGTACTGAACTGATAGGTGGCCTAGTGGTTATGCCCTGTACTACCATTTTGAGGATCTGGACTCCGTTCCTGCCTTGCTCTTTGGACCACATTGTCAATTCACACCGGTGGGTATATTCATTTTGGAGGGTGGGAACTGCAGCAACAGGGAAGCCAGAGACTTCTTCCTCCTTGGTCACCACCAAAGCCAGCACTTCCAAAATTTCAGCCTAGCCACATTCCTCAAGGAACGGGTTAGAGCTGGTTGCAGATGTGGGTTCTGAACAGAGAAATGACTTGTGCCTTGTTTAAGAGAAAATTTTGAAGTTGCTAATATTGTTTTAATCGTTTGCATTCTGCACTCTTGTGTATAAAATATGTTAAGTATTCAATTACTGCTGTTTTGATGACCCAATCTCAAGAGTTGCTAAGCATTTAGAAACCTTAAAGATTCTCTGATCAGAACAGGCCTTTCCATGAACAGGTACTTGCTACCAAAGATGGATAGTGGTTGTTGATACTTAAGGGTACTTTTAAGACTTTGTTGCAGGTATTTTATAAAGATAACACCAAGATAAATTTATGGGAAAATGAACTGGTGTATTCTTTGATACATAACCAGTTGGTGCTTAGGGGAGAATTTGCATTGGACATTTGCTACCAAGTAACATTTTGGTGAGTGAAAAGGAGGCAGCTTGGTTCAGGTATTCCACTAGAGACTTAACTAATTGCTTTTACAATTTGTTTAGTAATCAGAAGAATCAGATATATAATTTAAAGGGTATTGTAATCTTTAAATACTTTTTAGTATTAAGTAGATATAATTTTGACTTGAATTTGTGTTTGATATAGAATTATACGACTTTTTAAATGAGTAATATGAATAGCATTTCTTTGAGGGTGTGTTGGAGGTGAAGTTTGTGAAGGTGCTTTCGTTTGATTTAGCAAATTATACGTAAGATATAATGTTAACCGATGTCCTTAGTGGTAATAGCCATTTTTCCCCTATGGGAAAACTTACTGTGAGCTCTTAAAAAGCATATATTCTGCACTTTCAAATGTTCCCTGATTTTGGCATTCCCTCTCCCTCCCACCAAAAAAAAAGAAAAGAAAAAAGGTCGAACAATTGGACTTGAAGGCTGGAATTTAGGTAAACTGTGAGGGTTCATTAAAAAGCCTCAATTAACTAGAGGGTGGGGAATGGGTATTATATTTAATTGAACTTTAAGTAGAAGTTCCTTCTTTGTCTTGGCCCTTGTTGAAAATTTCCTAACACTGCCTTATTAGAGGCTGCTATACTTCGAACTAACTAAATCTTTGCTTTTTGGCTCTTATAGTCTCTGTGTAGGAAATAGAGGAGATTGGGCTATGAATCTCTAAAGACCCTTGTTCCTGTTTATTCTGAAAGTCATTGATTTTAAACATATCCATTGTGAATTTGTTTTGCTTAAATTTCTCTTTTTTTCCTTAAACCAGAGTGCAGGAAAAGTTCTAATACTATTTATATTAAAAATAAAACGCCACCATGTTGAACAGACTAAGTGTCAAGTAAGTTCTTGATTATTGTTATTTTGATGACCCAGTGTCAAGAGTTGCTAAGCTTCTAAAAACCTTGAACATTCTCTGATCAGAACAAACCTTTCCATGAACATGTACTTGCTCCCAAATAATCAGTAGGCTTTTATCAAGTAAAAATGAATTTTGATTTTTAATTATTAGCATACATGCCTACATTTATTATTTATATTTGATTGCTGAAAGCATAATTATATTAGGTACATTATATATTAAAGTAACTGCTTATAAATTTTGGAAGATGTTAAAAATAATTTTTAGAATTGTGAAATGTTAAATATTTAGCAATCTGGTGGTTAATATATTTAAGGTGATGTACACATTTTGCGACTTCACATTTAATTGTGAAAATTTCAGTTTAACAAGGAACATAGAGCTATTCTGTTATAAAGGAGCAAGTAGGGATCCCTACCTTAGGGAAAAAAAAGAAAAACTTCAGAATTTAAGTAGTATTTTTTCTTTTGAGAACCATGCATAAATAACAAATTGCATAAGTTGTAGTAGACCTTGATTTTGTTAATGGCTGGGTGGGTGTATACATAAAATACAGTTCACTTTTTTAGTGTTGAAATGACATTAAATACAAATAAAAGGTGCAAATATTGGAGATAATGTTTGGAAACAATACATTTGTGCAGAGAAAAAAATCAAATGTCGGAGTTTTTTTTACTCTGTTTAAATCTTAGATAAACTTCTTAAAAATGATGTGAAACTACAAACGGTTTTTTTTGAAATTCTTATTAGAACCTAATTTGTAGTTTACATCAAGGTGCCCAGTACTGTTGTGTAATGAGCTACTTGTTCAACCTAGACTTCCAAAGGACTTTCACTTTTAAAGAATGTCATAAAGTCTGTTATGTCTTCCAGAAGGTGAAATATTTTCCACAAGAGTGTAACTTTCATCTACTTGCCTAAGAGGCATGAACATTAAGAAAAATGTTGCTCACCTATGTAAATAATTTTAGTTAGATTCACAGAGCTTGATGTGTTATTAGCATCACATGAACTTACAAAATTTTTTCCTCCCCTAGTTTTGTGAGAACTTGTGGTATTAAGTCTGGAGCAAATGCCATGTTTGGCTGATGTGCATATACATTTTATGTTGTTAGTTTGGAAACTTGGCATTTGAAACTGGTATGAACCAAAGCCCCACACTAATTAACTGAATTGGTATCTTGAATGTAGAGGCTGTTTCTCGTTTACATGTTGGCACTTTCCACCTTGATCGTTGAGACACTTTATAAGAACAGCCACCCATGTTTTGCCCAGCATGAGTGGCCACAGTTCCATGTGACTGCATTTTTGTTGTTGTTGTTTGTTTGCCTGATCTTGTCCATTAGAAAGTGAGGAGAAGGATGATTGTGCTCCCTCAGTCTCTTACGGTCTTAGTACCCCTTATACCTTTGTTTTGGTCATGACCTACCTTTGATATCTGCCAGTTTCGAGGTCGGCTTAAATGAGAATCCACATTCTGCCTCCCTGGAAAGAGAAGGCTCTCAACATATTAACAGGCCTCTTAGATTGGGATATATATATATCAACTTGATTATATGGGGATATGCCTGTATATATAGGAAGTCACGGATAAAATGTGAGCCAACTATGTAAAGTGAGTTTTGATTTAGGGGTGCACATTTTTGTTCTAATACGCGTAAAATGCAAAATTCTTCTCACTGTTTCCGTGCTTGGTTCTCATCTCCACGTATGTGTTCCTGTCCTTTGCCTTTGGGACTTCTTTGAGATGCACTCACAGTCCTCTTTGGTTTTATTGATCCCTAGCTTAGTTCCAAGACAGCAGCGAGAGAAATCCTGATATCTCAAGAATTTTAGCAGTGTTCCAGAAATAAAGGTTTGGAAATTAAGAGAAGAGCATAAAAGACTTTGAATAGAATTACCAAGGGAAGGCTGCCCTGAACATATGCCACAGTTTAAGATTGAGTTATCATTCAAAAACATGCACATGATCTGTAAGAGACTCCTGCATTGACCATCTCTTAGAATTAAAAATAAATCCCTCCACACCCTCATTCCTTTTCCAGTAAGGGTATAGATTTGTACTTGAGTCACTTAGCTTTGGGTTGTTTGTGTTTGTTACTTCTCATATGACTTGGTTGATGTCTTTAATAAGGATGAACTATAAGTGTACAGGCCCCCTTGCTGGCCTTTATGGTATTATAATAATACTGGTGTCATTTTTCTAAGCACTTCATAAACCATTCTCAGTTCTCTCAGGACTGATTTCACAAGTAGGGAAATCAAGGCACTACCGTGTGCAGTGATGAAGTGAGCTATGGAATATGTCTGGGCTGGTTCCCAGGTCTGTGTTTGGAACACAGGCTTTTATAGGGCCCCTGTGAGCTGTTTGGCTAATGAAGACCCACATGAGTGCTTCATAACTTCTTAGTGATGTTTTGTGCTTGGATGTTAGCTAACAGCCAAGGATCCCAAGTGGGCTCCGCAGTTAAAGCAGTTAGCTTCACTAGCTTCTTTACCAGTGAATTGTGCTGGTGGTAGTTAGTTGAAGTAGCAACTGTATAAGGTTTGAAGTTGCCTGTATAAGGATCTAAAAAGAAAGTTTGTTTATGGTCCATTGCTTTCCCCAGTGTTTTGGTTTAGGGCAGTCTTGTTCCTTCTCTCCTCTGAGCAGTTATTTTTGCTTAGACAGATAATTGCTGGCTTTTGCCCTCTGCCTTTTCTTTTTCTGAACCCTCTATGCCCCATTTAAGAGCTTGTGGAAACCTGTGCTTCTCTTGAAAATCTGTAAGGCTTTCCTTTTCTGATGGGAGCTGACAACAATTGAGGACCTATATGAGTGGTCTCTGGAAACCTGATATGTCTGAAGAAACTTCTGTCTAGTGGAAATGTGGTGGAATTTATTAAATGTACGTTTAAGTCAACAATTAGAATTCTTGCTCTTGTGAAAGATATGAACTGAGACTGGGTGTGTCCTAATGCAGGGAGTGCTTAGAATCCTGGTTTGAGATCAGAAAAATATAAATAAAACTTCTGTGGAAAATGTAAGGATTGAGCCATCAAGTGGCAAAACCTGCTCTAAGAATAATGCTTTCGCTTAAGCCTTGACTCTAGGAGATAGCTTAGAAAAACGTGAGAAGGTGATTCAAATAAATTACATATTTTGTTGCTCAAGAATGGTGAGAAAAATATATTTCCCATTACTATGGGAAAATTATTTTGAGTAGTTTTGAGACAGCATGGAACACTTATTAAGGGATTGAAAATAACCTACTTTTTGTCTTAGGCCATTTAGATGAAGCAGTAGCATGCTTCTGGAATGATTATAAATGGACATATCTGGATGTTCTCTTAGGCCTGCTCGTTAATTGATTTCCCTTTTTCACACTTCTCTTAAGCCAGGTTGTTCACCTGTATTGACAGCAAGCAGCACTAAGCCTATGGAGTTCTTATGTAGGCAGCATGGTGTTGGAATCACTCCCACAGTGTGTCTTGCTGGAATGCCTATTTAAAATGGAGTAAATTGGGAAATGCTTCCCATCTCACAGTCTCCCTGAGGCTAGATTGGGATGTTAGAGAT